CATACGCTCTTCTGCAGTTTTATCTAGAAACGTTTTGCATTTTGTGATAGAATGATTGCTTGAGCAAAATGAACACTTGAAAGACTTATTATTCCGAGAATTATTTTGATTGCTAGATTCAGGATTAGTTTGTTTATTTGAAGGGAAATTAATTTTATTAGAAGTTACAGAACTATCAGCTAAAAGTGTATACGAGGAACTAGGACGTTTAGCAGATTTATTTGTAGAAGCTTGCGGGCTTTTGCTTGCGTCAGAAAAATGATTATCACGTATGAGTGCCTCACACTTCGAATGGAGAAATTGTTTTAGTTCAGTGAAAGTATGGAACTCAGTATGACCACACTTCTCTTCAAATTCACGGCGAATTTTAGAATCCAGCTTAGATAAAAGATGATAAACTAGAGTGAAATCCCAGTGCTGAATAGGAAGTTTCAATCTTTTCAGAATACTTAAGTTTTCATCGATGCTGTCTAATGTTGCACGAAAATCGGTAGCACTTTGAAGTTTGAAGTTAACGTTTAAAACATCTCGCCAACAGGTGTATGCAAGATCACGTTTATCTTGATAACGCGCGACCAGCGCCGCATATGCGTCCGAATAATGATCGCCCGTAATAGGAAATGTTCGAATAAGCGATAACGGATCGCCACTCAAGGACGACACTAGGTAATGAAATTTCTCAACATCTCGGAGAGACGGACTATCATGAATGAGCGCATTAAACGTATCAATAAATTCCGGCCAATGTTTAATGTTGCCCGAGAAAGCAGGCAATTGTATCTTTGGAAGCCTAACACGCACTAACGACGATGACGAAGCGTTAGCTTGATGTGAGATCTCAGAAGAATTTAAAATCGATTTATTTAACTGACGACGAATTGACATAATTTGGAAATATATATCGTCAAAACGAGTTTGAGTCTCATCATCATCATCTCCCTCCTGGTCTGATGATTCTAAAACTCCGATAATAGACCAGTGCGCATGTTCAAACTCCGATGTCCATTTATCAAGTTGTTCACAGTATGACAGGAAAAGATCAGTATGAGCATCATCACTGCGCGCTAAGTTACCTACTTCAAGCGCTTTTAATAAACGATTTAATGCAATGGTACGTTTTCTACGTAATACGGGTAAGTGTTGACTAGTATAGGATTCTACTTCAAAATGTTTTGATTTAGATCTACTTAATTTACGAACTGTACGTTTTGGAACGAAAGACATTGTGTTGTGTAATTAGAAATGATAAAAAACAAGTCGCGAAAGTTGAATGGAATGTTTGCGTATTTATTCAATAATATGAAACTGATAACGAATAATATGGAATAACCTGTTTACGTGAGTCAACTATTCAAAGAACTGAGCAGTTGTTTACGTTTTTTATGATTTAGATTGAATGTAAGTTACTGCAGCCGATTAGTTTATTATATAAACACCGATACTTTGATAGAATTGCCTATACAATGATCTGAAGTAACTATAATTCACCGTATACGAATTATGTAAACAAGTTAAACATAAAAAACTATTTGTTTTGACAAGATACAAATGAAGTGAACCGCGAGTGAATAAGTGAGTGAGTGAAAAGAACCGAACGTATAACTGACCGAACGAGTGAATATAAGTTTCTGGTGACCGACGAATGAATCTGGAAGGAACGTTATCTATGATTCGGTACTTACTTGAGTGATTGAATGAGTGGAATGGAAAGAATTTTTACTAAGTTCAACGCAACAAATACAAAATGGATGAACACCTTTACGAAACTCAACCTACCCCCAACCAGAAATTGCAAGTCATGTAATGATTATCAATTTCTTGGAAAATATGATTGGATGTTACGGCAAAACTGTTAATCCACATTGAAATAAATACTGTTAGGTATACGACTACGATAGAATAAGTTTGAAATACGAATTTTGATATGTACGAAAAATACCAGCGTTATTATTTAGGTACGGTAGAATACAACCTCGAGGGAAGTCAAAGGGCGATTCCCGGGTTTCGGCACCAAAAAGATGTGACGAAACGGCCCTGCCGAGGGGGGCCCTTGACGTCACTCTGGGTCGGGAACGAATAAAGTAGATAGAAAATTCCCGTCGATGAAAGAAAAGTGGGTGGTTCTGAACTGGCAGACCAATGCAAGTATGTACGCCTTACCTTGGTTATCCACGCCAACGAATCCTCTGACTTCCAGGGTAGGCGGATGGAGCCCACCGCGTGGTTGCCGGCCGGCGTCGTTTGCACCACACAGTATTTCGATGAAAATACGAGAAATATCGCTAGTTCCACACACTCCCGCGGGATCCCGTAATAGGAACAGTCTAAGTACACCAGAATATGGAAGATTTGGTCAGTTTTTGAGAGTTTTTCGGATTAGAAGGTTTTTTCTTACACAGCGCGTTGTGCGGTTCCGTTGCGACTCGAATCCCGCGATCAGCCATTGGTTCGGCGTATGCGCGAATAGCGCCTTGCGATTGGCTAACCGCCCGATACCACCCATGATACGTCATAGGCGGGAATATTTGAATTTAGAATCTTTACAAATAGTGAACAGCCGACCTATTACATAAAAAAAAAATTAATTAGAACTAGAAACTCTCACGCGGCTCTATTTACTCGTAGCGTGATGTTTTATAGCCTATATCACTCAGGAACATTGTGGCTATCTATCAGTGAAAGAATTTTGCCAATCCGACCAGTGGTTCCAAAGATTACCCCCTACATACAAACTTACAAATTTTACCTCTTTATAATATCAGTATAGATTATAATTAGGTACAATGTTAGGTATTTTATATCCGTTAAGTATTTACATCGTAAATATACATTAATCAGACTATTTTGAAGAAAGAGTATAAATGTTTTTGGAAATAGGTTGGCATCGGAGTGACATAATATGGATCACATGATATTAAGTAATCGGCTTCTGGACATACTCATGTAACACCGTAAACGTTACAAGTGTCTGTCAAGAGACCTTTTCAGGATCTTTTGCCGTTTAAAAGATTTGACGATTGAGTACGTAGTGCGAGATTTGCTTACGTTAACGTCACTCATATCAACAGGCTATAAGTCACTGCCCACTGCTGAGCAAAGGCCTATTCTTAAACGGAGACGTTTTTATTAGCTTGATCACCTCGCTTAAGGCGGTTTGGCGATTTTAAACTTATTACTCACGATGCTTTCCTTCACCTTAGCGGTGTCTACATAATCATAGATAGTACATATAAATCGGAAAGTCACATTGGTATTTGCCAGTTTTGTATAAGAATCGGGTGCCTTAACCTCCAAGCCATCATCGCAAACATTTCTCAAAGCTGGTTGTCTGCTAAACCACGGTATTACTTCGATTATGCCGGTCAATTCATACCAAAGCAAATTGGCTCTCCTGCACTTAAGCTATAAATAATATTCTTCCAAAAAGGGCATTAATAGCCATTATATGATACTAATGAATCTTCCTTTGGGACTTTGTACTTCAAAGGTCAAAGGTCGAAACCGATGAGGATATTAGGGCCAATGCCATGGGCATTCCGTAATTGCTATCCAAAAATTCCACAAATGCCTCCTTTAAGACCCATAATTTGTAATTGGGCTTTCTGGAAGCTGGGTCTCTAGGACTTTGAAGTATTTATCTTAAGATCTTTACTTTGTAAATTCCCTGTGCCTTGATTCCAGCTAATGGAATACCTTAATGTAGTATAGGCGCTTTACGATTGGTCATTTAAAAAGGTTATTGAGATTTTTAATTCTATTATCATCCCCGAAAATGGAAACTCGACAAGGACCGGAATTCAATTCCTTTTTCGAATTTTTAAAGTTGATATCTTTCTAGTAATTTTGTAGAAAATTGGTAGAACAATCAATAACTATATAAAACGAAATTTGTAAATCAATGAATTAAGATGTTCTTTTGTTTTTGTAATATATTACAATCAAAGTCAATAATCCAAATATTTAAAAAGTCTAGTTTTTTTCACGACTGTAACACTATTTTTTGCCCTATATTTTAATAGTCCTTATAACAAATCTACATCTAACCTTAAACGTTTTACAAGTCTATTTTCGACATTGTAATAATATTATAATTCCCCAAGCAGCTCAACGTATGTTGCCCCTTTGTGCTATGCTAGCGGCCATTTCCGGGGCCCATTAATTGAGTTTGCCAGTCACCCCTGCCTGTTTATCCGCATAAATCAATATAGGTCAGGGGCAGGGGCCATAGTATTTCCATAGTTATCATCTACCAGTTGATAGCCACCCACACCCATTGCCACAATAATAGTTTTCTGCCATATTGCAAAATAGTCCTGCGTTAACCGGGGAATGCTTGGATGCACTTTTATAGTGCATACAGGGATAATTGCCGGCTGATGTCCCATCACATTTAGATTAAAACTTTTCAACGGGCCTCTGCAAGTCGGCGTCGGCCCCTCGTACACCTTCCAAAGGTATGAATCTGTTAATCGATCATGATAATTCACATAACAATCCCACATGACGAGAATCTTGTGAAAGCTGAAAAAGATGAAGCAAGTAAATATCTTCAATTCAATTCAATTCAATTCAATATATTTATTGTATTCCACAATGTGAACTTAGGTGGTAGGGTACATAAGGATTTACATACATTTTGATCTTGATTTTATTTAGCTCTTGATTTAGCTCATGAGATTGTCGACATGTGGGATGTAGACTCAGCAATCATTGTCCTGATAGACGTGTCTGCCAATGGTCACGATAAACACCTAAGCAGGCTTACGTTAGATGGTTGGGTCAAGAACCTGATGCAGAAAGCGGTACTTCTAAACTCGGCGCGCATTGTCCGGAGAAAGAAAGGAATTCTTTGGAGCCCTAACCATTGGTTGCTTAAAAACTTTCCGTCACCGGTGGGATATTGCTTGTTATATTTTAAAGTGTTTTTTTTCTAGAAAATGTATATAAAAATGAGAAAATAAAGCATCAAATTAAATAAAGAAAAACAATAATCTACTTACTTTGTTCAGCAGGCGCCAACTTAATAGTTTCTGCTTGCCCCGGTATCTTCTCTGACCGCCATAGTACCTTCACTATTTGGTAATACGCTACGGTCATCAGCAGTAGGGGAAGTCTGGAAAGAATAACATATAATTACTAAAGCGTCGTAATTATAGTAATTGTCAGCCTTGGAATGCCCACACAGCTTTATTTCTGAGGTCGTCAAATGACTTCTCCTGCATCGGGTGGGACGATAGGGAGTGTCAGACTCTTTCTGACTAAAAACTCCACCGTTACTTCTCCTGATCTAGGCCGAGGCCGCGTTACCCTATTGCGTTTGCCCCGCAACACTGGCTGAAATGCCCATAACTGAGAAAAGATCTGGTAGGTATGTTAAGTATAAAATTAATAAATAAATATCCGTGATCGTAACAGAAAAGAGGGACGCTACGTAAAAAAATGGTTTCTTTTAAAAATAAAACGTTTCCTTACCCTAGGACTTTGAAAGAAAGAAAGAAAGAAAAATTATTTATTTGCACCGCAAAAATTAAAAAAAAAGACACATTAGGTACAACTTATATGGAAAGTATGCACGGCGCAAAAAGGCCAAGTGCTCAGCTAAAATGCCGTGACCCGAGAGTATAACTCGCGTCGCGGCGCTGATTTTCAGAACTAGCCCGACACTATAATATGAAAATTAGATACATTTTATGAGAGTACATACATAATTGTTATTCTTTGATATTACAAAATTAATATTAATAGTATATATATAAAAAAAAAACAAATTTGTCGATGATAACATTGGCTTTTGACACTTGAAGAGTTGACGCTGACAGATTGGCATTGACATTGTGAGTGAGCTACCCCAAAAGCACGTGACGACGCACGCGGTAATGCGGTAAATAATGGCGTCCCCAATAACACAATACACAAAGCTACACCCAAATTAGTTTTACCAAATTTACAATGTTAACTTTCTACAATGAGTGCGTTTACATTTACAAAATTTATAAATTCACACACACAAGCCACGCAGACCCGAAACAACCATTATTTTATAGATCTCACAAAATGTTGTTCCGTGCGGGATTCGAACCCGCGATACGTCCCACAGCAGCTAGTTGCCAGCCACAGCGCAAACCGTGCTTTCAAAATGTAACACCAATATAAGAAAGTAATGTAACTCCATACAAGTCTAATAATCTTCATCCAAGAAGATACACTTCCAGTTTTTAAATAGCAATGAGCCTTTTGAATTGCTTTCGTTCAATTTATTTATTTATTTATTTATTTATAAAAAACACACATGCATAATTTTACAGCAGAAGCCAAAACATTATACACTTAGAAAAAAAAAATACATTTTACTACTTTACACTTATCAAATATTATTATAAAAACTTATATATAAAATCTTATACATAAAAAAAAAATTAATAATAATAAAAATACAATACATATTCATCAGCTACCCATCTTCTCACAAAATCTTACACATTCACGACATAAATCCTTCCATCTCGCTGCGAACAAATCACACTCCGGTGCCGATACCAAGAGGGCATTGATCATTGTTAATGCTCGAACAAGCGGAGAATTTGCATGGGCGACGGTTCGCGTTACCGGGACAGCTAGCAAGGGGTGCCTACGTGGCCTAAGCTGATGCTTCAATACTGTGGGCACAAACAACCGTACCACCTGTGCCACCAGCTCCGGACAGTCAGATTGTCCTCGCAATGCACTGCAAGTTGAAATAATAAGAGAGTAATTTCGTCTCACTGCCAAAGAATTGAAATTTAACATGCCTAATAAAAACTTGGTGGGATATAGGAATGGATAATAGCCAAATATCTTTTTGTACAGAAATCTAAGAAATGCTTTTTGCACTTTCTCCAGTAATAAAGCATAAGTACTCTCATGAGGATTCCATACAATAGATGCTGTCTCCAGTTTTGTACGAACTAGGGCCATGTACACCAGTTTGATAGCTTTCGGGTTATCAAATTCACGCATATTGCGGATAACAAAACCTAATCTACGATAAGAGTCAGTTGTAAGTAACCTCATATGTTCATGAAAGTTCAGTCGAGGGTCGAAAATTACACCTAAGTCCTTTACGGTGTGAACACGATTTATGAGCTCTGATCCCAAGAAGTACTCAACATGCAAAGGTTTATGTGCTCGACTAAAGGTCATTACATTACATTTCGCAGTATTAAAGTTGAGTTTATTGTCATTACTCCACTGGTACAAGGCATTAATATCACCCTGTAAGGTATCTGTATCCGCGAAATTTTTCACCCCATAAATAAGTTTAAGATCATCAGCATACAATAAACACCTCGCATGCTTGAGACACGATTCTAGGTCGTTCACCATCAAACCAAACAATAAAGGGCCCAAAACAGAACCCTGACTAACACCCGAGCGAGTATGGTAAGGTGGGGAAACAAAACAACCATGTCTTACATATTGTTGACGGTCACGGAGATAATTTGAGAAGAATTTAAGTAATTGCGGTGAAAAACCATTGTCATTGAGTTTACGAAGTAATATGTCGTTATCCACACGGTCAAAGGCCTTTTTGAAATCAAAATAGATGACATCCACTTGAATATTTTTATCCAAGTGTTGCGAAATAATATCTACTACTGTCAGAAGATTAGTACTTACAGAGCGGTTAAATCTAAATCCGTGTTGTGAATCACATAGATGTGGTTGTGTTTGTAGACTTATCTGTTTGTGTAAAATAGATTCAAATAATTTTGAAAGGGACGAGAGAATGGCTATTGGCCTATAATTTTCTACCAGGGAATGGTCATTACCTTTGGGTATGGGTTGAACCCGCGAGACTTTCCAACGTTTAGGGTAAATACCTATCAATAGGAAAGATTTCATTGAATCATTATATTTTATAACAAAGTATTTAAATGAAACGTTTTACTGAAAAGGTTTTTTATGAAAAGGTCAGCAATCGAGAAGATAAGGGAAGAACCATGGGTCTTATAATTTTATTACACGAGTCAACTGATCGCTTTATTAGAGACTGGCTTTTGTCTGCGTGGAATAGTGACTTCCTGCAGATTTTTGGTATAAAAACTATCCTATGTCCTTTCTCGAGTTCGAAACTATGTCTGTGCCAAATTTTACAGAAATCAGTATAGTAGTTTAGGCGTGAAGAAAAGACAGACAGACAAAGTTACTTTCGCATTTATAATATTGTAATATAGACTAGATTCCGCCCGCGGCTTCGCACGCGTATACTTATGTATTCGTAAGAATTGATTGCGATTGACATTTTGCTTGAAAAAGTAAAATTTTTTAGGTCTTATGGAAAAACATAATATATTATGTTTGTGCACCAAAATCGGGTCTTTCAATATATTCCTCGTTCAAAATGCCTCTCTGTATAGAAGTATACTGTTACTTATGTATTTGTACTATATAAGATAATGTACGTGGGATGCATCTTCAAGGATTTCTAGTTCACATCACATCCTCATATTACTTTTAATATAGACTTTTTAATATCAATGGAAAATTCCATCCGACACGGTTACCAACGACAACCATTTACTTCGTATAATTAATGAAAATATAATTATTAATTAGTGAAAAGCTTTACGTTTTTGTAACACGTGTGTGTTTGTCAATGTCATTTAAGAGATGTGATTTTAATTGGCTTTTACATGGAAAAAGAAAAGTCATGGTGGCCCGGAGGTTAATGAGCCCGCTTCTCATGCATGAGGGTTCGAAACCTAGCAAGTACCAGTGTGACTTTTTCCGACTTATATGTACTTCCTATGATTATTTAGACCCCACTGGCATACGGTGAAGGTAAACATTGTAAGGAAACCTGGACTTATAATTTCGAATTATGCGGTTGTCTATGACAACCGCATAATGGGATTAGGGTTTCGGATATTTAAGGATTTGGTTGGGTGGAAGGAAAACTGGATTGAGCATCCGGTAACCTTATTCACACGGCGAAACGCAACGCTGTAGTTGTTTCACGCCGGTTTTTTTTGAGACCTTGGTTTCACTCCGGTCGAGCCGAACCCATTCGTGCCGAAGCTTAGCTCTCCCACATTTAAACAGTAATGCTTGTCGACATTCGTAATTGTGGAAGTAAACAGAAGTAAATACGGCCTCACAGAAATCCATAGCGTTGTGATTCGCCGTGTGAGTGACGTTACCGGAGGCCCAATCCTTCCCCAATCCCTTAATGTCTGTTACATTATTCCACGAAAGGTCGGCAAAGCACTCGTAACCCCTCTGGCTTTGTGAATGTCCGCTTACCATGCGTTGGCGAATGCGAATGCGTTCTTGGCCTTTTGGGGATAGGGGTTGCGGATATAAGGATCGGAAAGGGATAGGGGTAACCTCTAAATCTCGTACTATCACATAAGAGCAAAAATGATACGTAAAAGATAGATTGTAGTTTTAATTACCAAACGGGTTTTTCCAATAACAGTGGGCGAAACCGCTGATAGAAGCTAGTTCACAATGAATAATTAAAACTTTAGCTACCTCGTTGATCGAACAGCGGCATGTGACACTGGCGAGCAAAGCTATTTTGTTGTTGTTTTTTTCCGTCCGCAAATTTGTTTTCATAGCCCAGTGGGATTGTGGCTAGTTTATATCGACTGTCTCAACTATAGAAATTATATATCATGAATATAGCCACAATCGAGCATTTCACACTCACCACATCATCATCAGCCTATAAGAGCCCACTGCTGAGCAAAAGGCCTATTCTCACATAGAGAAGGTTTGAGCATTAATCACCACGATTGCTCAAAGTGGATTGGCGATTTCAGACTTATAAATTAGAAATTGTAAGTGCGCAGTTTCCCTCAGGATATTTTCTTTCACCGTTTGTCATTGGTTTGTATAATATAGGTATAGAACTACATAATTATTATAATTCGGAAAAACTCTCTACGCCATGGGCGCTTTGACCTCTGGACTACCGAGGATTTAATACTTATATAGAATATACATCGTATTACTTAATAATATTATAAATTAGGGAAAGTTACGAATTGTGGATGTTTGTTACTCAATCACGTCAAAACGGCTGTACCCCGGAATAGGACATAGGCTACTTTTTATCAACATACCACGCGGGCGAAGCTGCGGGCGAAAGCTAGTAGAATATAATCTTACCAGCGATCCACCCCGGCTTCGCACGGTTGCAATACAATACTGAATTTTCTTATTAACACCCGGTTTCTGAAAGGCTTGTCAATGCGAAAATTAACTAATCTCCTGCCAAATCCTTGTCAAGTCATCTGATTGGTTGACTGAATTATTATCAACAACCAATCCGACGACAACTTATGAAAGAAAATTTTAGAAAAGTTGAGAGGAGAGTTGGGTAATAGGAACCCTTTCATCGTAAGCGAGATGATGGGACCCGTGCGAAGCAAGGGCGAGCTGCTAGTTAAAAATAAAAAAGATTTTTGTTTACATAATATTACCTATCTACATAGATTTGTACCTACATATGTATGTGAATACAATGCTGGCCTGTCATTGTTTTCTGTCCACGTCACCAAAAAATACGTCGTGTTAATAGGGATATCGTTTACAATCCCTCAATATCTATTGTTGTGCATGTAATATTGACTGCCATTGTTTTTATGTTTCGATTTTACCAAAAAAGTTTTGTTTGACTAAAATAATCAGTCATAATACAAAATATAATAATTGTTACAATGCGTCACGTTCACAAACGCCATCAGAACTGTAGGAACGGAGTCCAGTAAGACCGATGTACAGTCAGGGGTCAAAAATGCAATTACACTCTACCAATTTTAAAATGACAAAAATTTCTTTGCTGTTGTATTAATTTTTGTTTGAATTTGAATTAATGTTCAATGGTTCACATCCAGTTTATTCAATAATTTAATGCAGTCTATGCTATAAATTAATGCAGTCCTCAACCATTGACTCTTTTCTACAAAGATATTTAGGTCATTTTAAAATTGGTAGAGTGCAATTGCATTTTTGACCCCTGACTGTACATGTCAGATTGCAGGTTTTTTTTGTGAGGAGAAAATCATCAAATGACTTCTCCCGTCCAGGGTGGATCGAGAGGAAGTGTCAGACTCTTACTGACTAAGAACCCGTTTCTTCTCCTGCTCTAGGCCAAGGCCGCGTTTTCATATTGCTCTTGTCCAACAACCATGGCTGAACATCAGCCCTACATTGCTCCGTCTCTGGTGATTTATTGGCACTTTATTGCACTCAAAACGTGACACTCCGTTACAATTATTATTCTATTGTGACCGATTATTTTAATAAAACTATCCTTTTTACGGCGTAGCGTGCAATTGGGGAGGCCTATGTCCAGCAGTGGACGACAACAGGCTGATGATGATGATGATGATGATACTTTTTACGACAAACTACGCGAATGTCACTACGGGGCACAACTAGCAGTCACTAAGAGTCTGAGAGAACTAAAATAGCTGAGTTCATTAATTAATGTTAATAAGAACACAATGGCAAAAACACTTTTGTAATCGGGTTATATATTAAAATCATAAATGAATGGCAAATGAAGCTGATTTTTTTAATTTACCCATTAACAAAATTTTGTAGACGACGGCAGCTAAGGGTACCCAAAAATCCACATTCTTCAATACAATTTAAATCATATTTATTCAGCAAATAAAACTGAAAATTTCTTAGCATAAACGAAATTCGTAAACAAATCGTATTTAATTAAGTACCCGTTGAAGGGCAAACGAGTTTTTCGTACTGGCAATGAAAACACGAAATAATTGTGTGTTCAGACGCACAACAAACTACCCTAAATTAAAAATTTCCTCAGTGGACATTCGACCTTAAGGAATTGGTGAAAGAGTCGAAAATCCTCTGAAAAATAAAATCTTTAAGAGATGTGTTTTTGTTTTTCAATTTACTTACCCGTAAATTAAGGGTAAAGAGTAAAAAGGATTTAATAATTTATTTATTTTAGTAAACGTGAAAGGATTTCCCACTTTTTTTAACCAAACATATAGTATTTTGTTACTTAGATTTATATATATATATTCGTTTTAATTTTTGTACGGGTAAATGGTGATTAAAATTGTGAACTGAATACCTTTTTACAGTCTTAATATCAATTTAATTTAATTTATTGATGTATTTATTAACGAACTCAAATGACAACACATTTATAAATATTAAAAACACATTTTATAGCCTATTGGTATTTCTTTTTTCAGATAGGAAAAACAAATTTAATATGTAAAATTGTACATTCAGCTTTTTGAGGGATAAAGTCTGATATAATACACGACTTTTTATAATCAAGAAGTTAATAAATTATTTGGATCTCAAAAAGAATCTAATAGAAATATTTTCATCTAGCTAAAAAATCTATTTCATCATTTTTGTAAAAAGTGATTGAAAAATCAATCACTTCGTTATATATACATATAGTTTATGACAAAGTCGCTTTCTTTGTCCCTAAGTACATTATATTCCTATGTACGCTTACATCTTTAAAACTACACAATGGAGCTTGATGCTCTTTTTTTAATGTTTGATTTGTTGATTAAAGAGGAAGGTTTACATGTATAGTAGTAGTAACATCCATTAAATTGAGAGTACAGCATTGCACCCGTTGGAAGCTGGATCGGGTCGCTGGTACGGAGTATTTAGCACTCCTTTGTGACATTTTAATTCGTTGCCATAGCAACCGGTGCTTCGATCACGTTCTCACTGGCAGCGTCACGAAGAGGACCCCTACACGCTGAGAATTCTTAATTACTGAAAGTCATTTATCACTGTAGATGGTGAAAATTTGTCATTAAATTAATTTCTCTTAACGCCGTACTCAGAGTCATTAAAGGTTACTTAAACCAATCCTTTGCTTTTGGAATCAAATCGGTATTATGACAACTGTATAATCGAGTTATTGAAAGAATACTGAAAAAAGAGGTCTTTGATTGGAATCAAATAAAATATGGATGACATAAGAATGCCTCACGAGTTCATAAAGGCCGACTGACTAACGCTGATGCCCGATCGAGTGAAGAACAATAAGCAAGGGGAGGATTTGGATCAGGTTGGCTTTTACAAGGAAGAATCTGCCACCTTCACTCACACCTCAACTATGGTGGGATAGTTATCATTTCGATTCAAAGGCTCAAAAAAAGAGACAGGCCTGTATCAAGGTTTTAGCTGTCGTTGTGGTAACTAAGCGGTATTAAGTCGACGACAAAAAAAAACATTAAAGGAAAAATATCAGCCAAACATATTGGTTGCTATTAACAACAAAATAATAAGAACAAAATTATTTTTTATTTGGTATCGGAAGTAAACGATATTTGCTGCCTAATTAGTGTATAATTAGTGAATGTAACTAAATCTTATTCCAATGAAACAATGAATTTATTTTTGCAATTATAGGCCATAAAACGGCACTTTTACACGTCAATTTTATGTGAAAAACTAAATGAAGCCGGCATTTCCTATCTGACTACTCTTAGAAGAAATTCCCGCGCAATCTCTATGCTGACACGCTCACGCTGAAACTATCCAAACTAATATTATAAATTCGAAAGTATTCTGTAGTTTGTCTGTCTATTCTTCACGCCTAAACTACTGAACCTATCTGTGTGAAATTTGGTACAGACATAGTTTGGAACTCGAGAAAGGACATGTGATAGTTTTTATACCAAAAATCTGCAGGAGGTCACTATTGCCCGAACGGAGTCGCCGGCAAAAGATAGTCGGAAATAAATCTAGATATTTTCTATTAGATAGTTTATAAAGTTTTGCTGTGACACTTACCAACGAAACAACAAATGAAACAGTTTTAAAATACTAGTTTAATAAGGATATCTCATTTTTAGTACTCGTGCAGGAATCGGACCTGTGACACGTTGCACGGTGGCCATTTGCCCAGCCACCGCGCCAACCGTGCTGTCTGTATTATAAACATACTCTTAATACTTACGTGTAAATAAAAATGACTTTAATGATGTGCCACACAAGGTCGCTGTTTGAAGACCAGGTCGCGATGCACTGGACTAGGTACTCTAGCTCGAAGCGTAGAGGTACTGACTTCTCAGTCGTTAGAACGACCAGCTCTGGAGCATCTGTGGGCGAAAGAGTTTGTTGTTAGTGTGATTGCTTTATTATGAATATGTTATTTACAAATAAAAAATCTTCTATTAACTCATTAAATTATCAAATAAATGGTTTTCTTTCTTTAGTGAGGCCTCCCGCCAGATGGACTGACGACATCGTCAGAGTCGCAGGGAATCAATGGATGCCGTCGCTACCTTTTGCGAGACCGTGATGCTCGCAAAGGAGGCGGCGGAAAGGGAGAGACGTCGAAAGGTGGATGACCTGCGGCCACCGGAGTTTGCGGCCTGCGGACGACAGACTTGGGGCGTATTGTCGTCCGACCAGCAGCAGGCCTCGAGGCGGCGGCGCCGTGTTCCGCGCGCGGAATACGACGTGGAGTCCTGCGGTCGGGTTTGACAGGAAAGGTCGCAGGGAATCAATGGATGCAGATGGCTAGGTGACGTGGAAAACCAAAGGGAAAGCCTTTGTTCAGAAGTCATCGTCTTGCGGCTGATGATGATGATGATGATTTGTTATTTGACAGCACAGCTGCTACCTATATCTCCTAAAAACCACCTAGTACTCCCGACTATAATCTTCAAGTAATCTTAATTTTCATTGAGTCATTTTCGTGGCACCCCATTTTCATTCGTTTTCATGACTTTGGTTGTGTGCAACCAAAATATTAAGAAATCAATAAAGAGAATGCTCCCATCCTCTAAAATCATTTTGTGACTTTTAAAAACTTGTTCAATTAAATGTCTTCCATTTTTTATTCGGAAGCGGATTGAAATCCATACCGTATCTATTCTAAATGGATGTTATCCGCAGCCGACTTTCAATGCTGAAAACGCGAGCTACGAAATTTCGAAGCTTTAGAAACTTCTGAGAATGGGTAAACCACGTCCATTTTTTACGTTATAATAATAATAATAATAATATAAAAAAAAACTTGCAACACTGGACTTGTCAACATCAAAATTTTACGCAGCTTTTTTAAAATATGTATTTATATTAATTTTCTCATTTTAAATTAACAGTATAATATAAATCAAACCATACATCCTCGAAGCAATATTTTATAGAAGATCTTTTTGAATAAAATAAATTTAACAACAATCAAAATAAAAACTAACAAGAAATGACTGATGATTAATAGATAAATTATTATTATTTAAATAGCTAATTAAATTGTTAATTGTTTTATTGATGTCCATTTCATGATCATTAATGGTTTTATTTTTTTTGTCACTTGTAATAATAATAGATATGTCATCAGCAAAAAGGATACAATTATGATTGGTTATGTCAACTATGTCGTTTAAATAAATAATAAATAGAATAGGGCCCAATATACTACCTTGGGGTACGCCACATTTGACATTTTTATATTCAGACGAGTAAAATGTCATATCCCTCTTTTCATTAAGCTTTGAGATAACTACACTCTGTTGTCTATCAGTTAAGTATGATGATAGCCATTGAAGTGACAATCCTCTGATTCCGACGGACTCTAGCTTTTTCAATAATATTTTATGTGAAACTAGGTCAAACGCCTTTGACAAATCAAAAAATAAACCCGTTGTTAGGTGATTGTTGTTGATACTCGTCAATACTATTTTTAAGAGAGTAAATATGGCTAAGGTAGTTGATTTTTGTTTTTGAAAACCGAATTGTTGCTTATTTAAAATATTGTATTTTTCACAGTAACTAATTAATCTTTGGTACATGAATTTTTCATATACTTTTGAAAGGATAGGTATTAATGTTATTGGACGATAGTTGTCCATATTACATTTGTCGCCTTTTTTAAAAATCGGCTTCACAAGGGACTTTTTTAAGGCATTAGGAAACACACCCTGCGAAAAGGATAGGTTGATAAGATATGTCAATACCCCGCTTATTTCATTAACACATGTCTTAATTATTTTGGTGCTAAGTTCATCGTACCCCTTAGAACTAGTGTTGTTTAACGATAATATATGTTGTCTTACCTCACTTTCGGACATTGGCATGAGGTACATTGAATTAGCAATTCGATTTTTATTAAAGCATTTTGTGTTACAGTTTTCTGTTAGGTTGCAATTTGCATAGAGACTATTAAAGGTCGAAGCTATCACTTCTGGTTTTTTGAGGACAGTGTTATCAATTTTAATGTTTTCAATATTATCTTTGAGGTTTCCATTATGTATTTCGTTTTTTATAACAGCCCATGTGGCTTTACACTTATTGTCATTCTTGTCAATATATTTTATATTAGCATTACGCTTAGCATTGTAGATACATTTCTGTAGCAGATTGGAATATGTGTTATATTTTGTCTTGTTAGTTTGGTTTTTATTTTTATAATATTGGTATCGAAGACCACGCTTACGTTAAGGCTAGATATGTAGGTACTGCGTTGAAAGCCGCGCGCTGGAATTCTAAAACCTGAACTATTTTTATGCAGCTGTTATAAATTAGCGCTTAACTTTATTTTAACGATGTTTTCCTTCTCCATAGCCGGAGCTAAAGCAATAAGGTAGGGGTTTCCCGCAACCCTGTTTTAAGGCTGGGGTACGTTAGCATCAGCCTTGTAGGGCCCCGTCTGTGGTGGTCTATTAGATCTTTGAGGCGCGCGTGAAACGCTTAGCGCCTCCCGCTCGGGTCTAGTTCTGGTTCCATTACACGCTGTCCACAGACCCGAGCCTACAGTGCGTGACCAGACATTGTTGCTCGATCCCCGACGCTCTGAGTTTTGCAAACTGTGGCGGAAGGGGCGTGTAGAGGATAGTTCCATCACGGGCACCGCCGCTGCTTTGCGAGCACTTCTACTGCTTTTCTCTCAGGCCGCCTACCGTTAGATCGTGTGATAGCCGCGGTATATGCAAATAACCATGACCCTCTAGGACGCGCACACATGTTGGCCGCTGCCTCAGGTCCGGCGCCCAAACGTAATCTCCGGTAGGAGACGCTAGAGCGCGGACCCGGTTCGTTCAAACCTGGGAGCCAAACGTCGGAAGAGCTCTGCCGGGAGGTTTTCAGGGGCGTAGTTTTGCAAGCTCGCACCGGGTGCTTAAGTGGCTAGTTACAGCACTGTACGCGTGGGAGGGTCATGTTCAGGTACGAATGAAAACTGAAAGGTGTCTTGTGCTACATTATAATTGAAATTGAACTAAACTTCTGCCAACCTCTTTGGAAAAAGTAGTCGTAAGATAAGTCTTATGTTAAAATATTCCCCTACATAGTTTTACCTACATCTATATGTATATCACATTCAGACCCGGAAAAGGGACCTACATAATAATATCATACATATTTATTACTTTCGGGAACCGAAATCGCTTCCATTCTTCACCCAAATATAGGTAGGTATTTTATGTACCTAATCTATTAATGTATACATTATCGAATTGCCGTAATGTTTGTTCGATCATTATCTACTTAAGTACATAATTTATGTGGGACCAACTGCACTAAATTATTGATTTTTAGGGTTCCGTACCTCAAAAGGAAAAAACGGAACACTTTGTTGTCCGTCTGTTCGTCCAAAACCTCAAATACTCAGGTCTATAATACCTTTAAGCTGTAACAAAATCAAACTTCTATGTTAACGCAATCAAAAGAAACAGCAATTTAAGCTGTATATTTTGAAACTTGCAAATACTCGCAAGGGAATCAAAACCTAAAGTATACTTCCAGTGGACCTAGAATCTTGAAATTTGGCATGAAGCAACGTTTTATAGCACACATAAAGGAAAAAATCCGAAAACCTTAAATTTTTAGACTTGCAGGTTTGTACGGAACCCTCGGTGCGCGAGTCCGACTCGCACTTGGCCGGTTTTTTTTTTCATTTCTCTCAAGAACTACATCGCCCCGCAGTGAAAAACAACTAGACAAGGGCGCTTCGGGATCCTTCAAGGTCGAGTTGAAATCGGCCGCGGCGAAGAAGCTGGCCAGTGCCGCGGGCAAGATGGCTGCCTGCAAGTCAGGCGTGTTCGCTTCCTCCGCATCGAAGCCGCGAGCAAAAAACCATCGCTTAACTGAATAAATATTTCTTGTACTTTTTGTTCGTATTACATTTATTTAAAATAAAGTTTTGTAAAGCTTTTGTTTAAAGTTAATTCATAATTTAACTTTGATAAAAAGCTTGACTAGAAAAACGAACTTACTTTATCTCGATATTTTCTTCTAGATCTAAACTAATATTATAAATGCGAAAGTAACTCTGTCTGCCTGTCTCGGTTTTTGAGCAATCTGCAGGAAGTCACAATTCCACGCGAACGGAGTCGCGGTCAAAAGCTAGTAGGAAATAAATCTAGATATTTTCTTCTAGATACTTTATAAAGTTTTGTTGTGACACTTAGCAACGAAACGACAAATGAAACTGTGGTAAAATTCTAGTGGAATAAGTATATATCATTTTTAGTACACGCGTCCTCAAATGGTATAACTAAAATGAAAATGATGTAACAAAAGTTAAGAGATCAAATTACTCGCATTGTTCAGGGCTTTTAGCGTGTTTGATAGTAACCGCATGTCATGTAGCTTACCTAGATACATGTAAAAGGTTGTTATCAGTAGTTTGAGTACAAATTGATAAGTTGTCGTTGCTATGTAGATAAGTATTAAGTAACGGGACCTTGAAAGGAAAATGATGGGAACGTTTTTAATGGCACCTTATTTTAATTGTTTTCCATTTAAGACACGTGTATGCCATTTTTTATATTTGTATAATTGGTAAGAGTTTCAAACAAGAACCTAAGGAATTGCAAGTATGTTTTATTAGGAATTTTAGAGTGGTGATTCGGTCTGGAAAGATTTGTGATTTTAGTGAGTTTACTCAAACACAATCGTTGTTTCACACCGGTTTTCTTTGAAGCCGTGGTATCATTATTTTTTTATTAAATAATTGATATGATAAAATTTAAGGATAAAAAAAAGAATGATAAAAAAAGAATGATATTTTTCTTTTTAATATTAACTAGTTCTTGACTGCACTCCCTCCTGATGGTAAGCAGTGATGCAATCGTTAAATGGTAAGGCGCAT